ATCCACTTCAGCATCACAATGGCTGGACCTCACTCTGCTCCGGCCACACCAGCAGTGCTTACCTTGTGGCAAGTTTCCACTTTTCAAAACAGTGACATAAGTCTAAGTAATTTATTAAAATTCCCTTATTATTAATGGTGTTGTTATGTGATGCAATTCCTATGTTAACCACAGGGTGATGCTGCAGACAGATCTAGGGATTTGTTTGGGGAAGAGGGGTTTAAGAATATTTGCGTTTTATAAATTATGGTACAGGAACTTCCCTGGGGGCGCAGTGGTTAAGAATACGCCTGCCAATGCAGGGTACATGGGTTCGAGCCCTGGTCCATGAAGATCCCACATGTCGCGGAGCAACTAAGCCCATTCAACACAACTACTGAGCCTGCACTCTAGAGCCCACAAGCCACAACTACTGAGCCTGTGTGCCACAACTACTGAGCCTGCGTGCCACTACTACTGAAGCCTGTGCACGTAGAGCCCGTGCACCACAACAAAGAGAAGCCACCGCAATGAGACGCCCGCGCACCGCAATGAAGTGTAGCCCCCACTCGCTGCAACTAGAGAAAGCCCGCATGCAGCAACAAAAACCCAACACAGACAAAATTAAATAAATAAATATAAATTATGGTACAGCTACGCAATGAAAGCTAGTTAGAAGAATGAGGCAAAGCTATACGACTTTTAAAGACCATCTTCAAGATATGCCACTAAGTGAGAAAAGCAAGTCAGTAAACAATATGTAGAGCATGCTCGTATTTATCTAATTTAAAAAATGTAAATATATATGCAGGTACATGCATAATTTTTTCCCAAGAGTTGAGAAAAAGAGATTGTTACCAGTTATTACTTTGAGGAGTGGGACTGGAGTCCAGGAGCTAGTGGGAAGCAGCCGCATAGCACAGGGAGATCAGCCTGGTGCTTTGTGACCACCTAGAGGGGTGGGATAGGGAGGGTGGGAGGGAGACGCAAGAGGGAGAGGATATGGGGATATATGTATATGTATAGCTGATTCACTTTGTTATAAAGCAGCAACTAACACACCATTGTAAAGCAATTATACTCCAATAAAGATGTTAAAAATTTTTTTAGAAAGTGTGTTTCCCTTAAATTTCATACTTTAAAAAATTATTTGATTTCTTAAAATGATTTGCACGCATTAATTTAAAAACCATTATTACAAAAAAAATCTGATTGCTGTAAAAATTGAAATACTGTAGAAGTTAATGAAAGTCTCTTCTCCCCCACCTCTTAACCCCATTCCCCAGAGGACAGGTGACCTCGGTTTGGGGTCTCTTTACTCAGAGTTTCCAGAATGGCAACATCAGGATCACCTGGGAAGTTGCCAGAAATGCAGATTCTCGTGCCCCACCCCAGACTGGCTCAAACTCCACAGTAGGGCCCAGTAATCTGTGTTTTCAGAAGCCTTTTTGGTGATTGTGATGCATGCTGCAAGTTGAGAATCATTAGCAGGTTAGACCAGATCTTTGGGGGACAGGTCGAGAAGAATCCTGCTGGGGGAAACAAATAACTCCAATGGCCTGTTTCCACTCACCCAGCGCACTCTAGCTCGAGGCTGGCAGCCCTTTGAGCCCACTGTGACCTTTCCGTTGGGCTGAGTGATGACCGTACAGTCACAGTTTGGAGGCTTACCCAGAAAAGGGGGCCATGCCAGAGGGGAAAGGAAAAAGGAGTGTAGGAGAAACTAAAAAAAAATGAGTAGGGAAAGGAAAAATGGCAGAGAAAGAATGCAAATAAAATAATTGCATGATGTGGGGAGAAAAAAATGTAGCCTGCCATTTCAGTAAACAAAGAATGTCGCCCGCCACCAAGCCAGCAGCCTCGGCAGCCACCCCCAATAGTGCGCCCCAGGGGCATTCAGGATGGAGGAAAACAGGATAGTGGCCCTAGATAGGGAAGATGCATATCTAAGGAATAATTGCAATGAGCCCAGATTCTTGCATCTTCCCATACAGAGAAAAGCACTAAAATCATTAACTTGAGATGTCTGTTTTTTTTTTGTGATTAGCAGTAATTTTTCATGTTCGACCACATTTTTTTTTTTCCAGGAAAAAACTCCTCTATATCGCAGCTCCTCCCTTGCCTCTTTGGAACACTTCCTCAGAGCTCTCTGAGAGGCTGTCTCGGGTGCGGGCTATAGTGCTCAGTAAACTCCCCCAATAAAACAGAACTCCCAACTTTTAGACAGTGGGTTTTTCTTCGTTCAACAGATGGCACCAGTACCTCAGGGTCGCTCGTTTATTTAATAAGCATTTGTCATTTTTTCCATTCTAAATCTGTATCTTTTTGTTCATTTCCTCCCTCGGACCCACACATCTCATTGTTTTGTCATTTACCAACTCTGAGAGGGTCATTATTTCTGCCACCATTCAGTGTGTTCACATTTAGGGCAGTGTTTGCCGGTGACTCCCTGTTGCCTGGCTAAAAAGTCATGAGCTCTCAGAGCTGCTCCAAAGAGTCAGAATCTACCTATGGTGGTGGGGGACTGAGGAGTTTTGCCCTAGGTGGGGGTACGAGGTCGGGTAGGAGAGGAAGTGCACGTAAAAGCGCTCTGTTTACAGCAGTATCAATAATCAAGTCCACAGATGTGAAGCTCAGATCCCAGGGGATCTCACAAAGTTCCTCAAACCATGGACCTTAGTCCCACATACGGATCTGCCTCTCCTGCAGAAGAGCTCTGGTCAAGTTCTTTCAACTGGGTGGGGGTGATGGGAGACAGTGCACAAAAAAGGGAGTAGTTCTTACAGTGTTGGAGGAGGGGACATTAAACAACTGCAAGTATGGACACTCAGACCAAACAAAGGTTTGAGAATTTTTGGCTTGTTTCTTCTGACAAAATAACCCAACCTTTACTCACCACCCCCAAAACATTGTTCTGTCTCCTGAAGGAGGCTGTCCCAGTCAAGGAATGAGCATTTGTTTTTGCCAGGGGAAAAGGTGGTGATGGTGGTGGATTTCGCTTGTAAGGCCGCTGATATCTCTCTGTGTTCCATGCTTTCATTTGATGACATCTGCAAGAAGTTCAGGACAACAATTTGTTAAATGGAATGTTTGACTCATTGGGACACTTTGTTTTCTTTTTACTCTCATAGAATCCTAGAATTGTAAAGCTGGGGCTACCTTAGAGAGATCATGTCTGGCCCATTAATATTGCCTTGGGGAGTTTTGAGAAAAACATAATGCCCAGGCCCAACTCCATATCAACTGAATCAGAATCTCAAGGGGCGGGACCAAGGGGCATCTCTAGTTTTTAAGCCCTACAAGTGATCCCAATGTGCAGCCAGGATTGAGAAACAGCTCTAGTCACACTATGTTATTTTTGGATAAAGATATAGAAGCTCAAAGAGATGAATTGACTCACCCAAGGTCATGCTGCCAGTAAGTGGTATCTCATACCCAACTCTTCTGACTGCCCATCCAATGTTCTTTCCATCATCCTCTTTTGTCTCTTCTTCTGGAACTTAGAATTTCACTGAACATTAAAGTTAGGCAGTTTACAGCTGAGGGAGAAGGGAGAGAGTTGCTTCATTAAGAATGGGGGGGCAACTTCTGAGTGCTCAACTCAATTGTGGGTTCTTCAGGACATAGCTGTTGCCTAGGCTTATTGATGGTGGGGCAGTCAAATGACCGTGTTTTGCTAAAGGCAGTGCCTAATACTGTAGTGTATGTCAGTCCCTCTTAGAGGAAGTCACTTGCTCATGACTCAGTTTCACCCATGACAGAACACATTCATTGCTAAGTGTTCTCACTTTCAGGAATTAATCACATTAAAGCAAAAGACAGTGGGGGCTAGATATTAATATTTGAGCAGGGGCGGGTGTTAGGGTGAGGAGTCACAGGTCCCACTTAAGAACCAGTAAAAGTTATAAACTTCCCCAGAAAAATACACATACAGAAACCTTGCATGTAATTTTTGGGGATTCACAGACACCCCCCGACCCCAAGTTCATCCATTGGAACCAGATTAAGATCTCCTGGACTAGGTGATTTTGAAGCTCTATTTTAGTGTTGCTCAAAATGTAGTCTGGGGACCATAGGAATCAGAATTACTTGGGGTTCCTGTTAAAAAAATAAAAACAGATTCCTAGGACTGCCAAAGATCTACTGTTTCAGAATCTCTGGGGAATGAGGTTGAGGAGTTAATATGTTATTAAAAATCCCCATATAATTCTTTTGGAAACTAATATTTGAGAATCAGTGCTTTATCCCAACTTGAGATTTTTATAGTTTTTGAATGCTTTCGTTTGTTGAATATTTCAGGTTTCATCCGTCCAACTGTCAACTATACCAAGTAGTATGTTTAGTATGAATTCTAATTAAAGAATATTTACATGTGTATAGGCAGAGGAAAAACAACCTGAAGGATGGACAGATAGATAGATAACAGTGTCTTTCTGTGTAGTAGGAACATGGATGATCTTTGTTTTTTTCCCTTTGTCCTTCTATTTTATTTCTTTCTTTCTCATTTTCTTTCTTTCTATATTTAAATAAGACTCTTCCTCTTTCTGAGTTCAGTTTCCCCATCTGAAAAACAGGGTGTTGTAACTAGGTGAACTTCAAGGCCAAGCCCTGCTCTGGCGTTCAGTGACTCTGTATCACCCTCTAGCTCCCTTGTCCTTTTAATGACATGAACTGCATGGGCATCAGTGTTTGGAGAATAATCATGTATTATTTTTGTAGGTATTCCGTTGCGATGCCTAGCAACCATTTTTACTCCAGCAAAAGTATTCTCTCCTTCCTCAAGGAGTCGGAACTGAAATAATCTCTGCCATCTAGCCCCCCTGCCCCCCCAAAAAAGTTCGTTTCTCTTTAGCCTTAGAAACGGCCGTCCGCACCCATCTCCTAGGAGCGCAAGAATGAGTGTGAACCAAAAAGCCAGGGCGTGGTCACCCCGCCCACCGGGCCATGCATCACCACCCCTCTGGCCGCCTTCAAGCGCGGTGACTGGCTGAAGGCAAGAAAGAGTCCCGCCCCTGGTCTTATGACCGGTGCTGAAGCGCCGAGTCCTGGGTTTTGCAGCGTTGTGGTCGGTGGTCAGCGGCGCTCTTGACCCGGTTCCGCGAGGCTTTTCTCTGCTGTCGCTGCACTTCTCGCCGCAGCAGCCTGCCCTGCGGGATCATGGTGTGCTTCCGCCTCGCCCCGGTTCCGGGATCCGGGCTCCTTCTGCTCTGCCTCGTCCTGGGTGAGTTGTCGGGCCCTCCTGCTTAGTCCCTGAGCCTGGGCCCGGGGCGCCCAGTTCAGAGGCCACAACCTGAAAGACTGGTCCGGGGAGAGGGGGTTGAGAAGCTGAACGACTGACACTGGGCCTCGGCGCTTGGCCCGAGGTGACGAGCGATGACCTAGAGAAGGCCCGACCGAGGGATGGCAGGGGAGAAGGGCCCATAACGGGGCAAGTAAGGGGGGGGGGGTGGACGCCGAGGGAGTAGGTAGGGAAGAGAGAGGAGTGGAGCACCTCGGGTTAGAAAGAGTAACTTGGGGGAGATACTAAGGAGTGATGAGCATAGGAGGGCGGTACGTGCAGATTCTGGGTGTCATAGACATTTAGAATCTTGGTCCTAGTATCAGGCAAGAGTTTTGAAGATGGTGGAAAACTGTGGGGCGGGAGAGAAAACTGAGGGAAGAGACTGCCTGCGTGGAGAAAAGCTTGGGGTAAGTGGGGGGAACAGATACGAGTAGATTCTGAGAGGCAGTGAGAGGCTTGGGTGGTGGGGGGTAGGAATTTGACGCTGTGGAGGAAGGGTGATTAAAGAGGTGAAGAATGATGATGGATTGGAGTTTGGTACTTGGGGTTTTGATGGGGAAGGGATCTAAGGTGGCTGGGGCAGTTTCCAGGGGAGAAAACTTGGACCCAACCTCTGGAGACTAAAAGGGATGAGTAGGAACTTTGGTGGGGAGTGAATATCTGACTTGGAGGTGCTGAAGACATCGTGGGGTTTTTTTTCTTCTTCCTTTTTTTTTTTTTTTTTTTTTTTTACCAGTTTTGTTACTTCCTCCCAGCTAGACCCTGACAAAAATGTCCCCAGATGTTGAGGTTTTAGAGGGATGCTATATCTGAGTCTTGTATACTGCCTCTTTGCCTTCAGAAGCTCCATTTCTTCTTCCCTCTCACACAACTGGCCTATTACCTCGTTTTCGGAGGAGGAGGAGGGTAGGTAATTTCCTAAGGATTGGGTTGTTACCAGGTCCTAAGAATGACTGGCTGAATGTTGGCTGATGGTGCTATGATGCACCCCACCCCCAAGCATTGGGTCCCTGAGGCCTTTTAATGCCTGAAAGGTGAACTTTGACCAGAATATCTCTTCCTGAACTGATAAATCCTGTGCTTGTTGCTACCACTGACTCTTGCTGTTTGTGACCTAATAAAAGATGAGAAGGAATAGATCCAGATGGGAGTAGAGAGGAAGTAGATATATTAGGGGCTTGAGAAGGCAGTGAGAGGTGCACATTTTGTAATTCACATTTCAGTAGAATAAAATCAACACCCTGGAATGGTGGATTCTCAACCAGGGGACATTTGGCAATATCTGGAGACATTTTTGGTTGTCACAATTGGGGATTGCTTTTGGCATCTAGTGGGAAGAGGCCAGGGGTGCTTCTAAACATCCCACAATGCACAGGACAGCACTCCCCCACCCCCGACAAAGTATTATCCACCTCAAAACGTCAGTAGTGCCAAAAGATGAGAAATCTCGCTCCAGATCCATGGCGTTGGAAGGGGTCTTGATGATCTAATCTAGTGATTCTCAAGGATCTTTCCGGGGGAGGGGGTTCTGTCAGATCAAAACTATTTCTAGAATAATATTAAGACATTTGTCTTTTTCACTTTCATCCTCTCATCAGTACAGTGGAGTTTTCCAGAGGCTATAGAATGAATGTGTGATGACATCACCACTCTCGTGGGTCTGATGTGTTTTATTCACTTCTTAGTTTTAATTTCTAGTACAGCAAATACCAATAGATGTAACTCACATAAACCAAAGCTCTTTGAGGTCTTCAGTGGATAGAGTAAAGGGTCCTGATGCCAAAAGAGAGTCCAGCTGTGCACACAGTGCAGGAAACTCTTCTGTAGCCCTTCTTGAAAGTGGGCCACAGAGGCTTTGCTCAAACACAGTTCGAAGCCTTAACTCCCCTGTGAAGTACTCAGTGAGGGCCAAGCGACCCTAAGAGAGGATTGTTTACAACGAAAAGCACCTTATCACTGACTAGAACACATCTGACCAAGGCATCTGGTAATCAGTAGTTCACTGCCAATTGGATCTGCACAAACAACACTGTTATTGTTTAGAGAAAGTGAAAAAAAATAATCATTGTCTTGTTGACTTTCATGTCATTAAATTTTTTTTAATGAAAGCTTTTTTTTGTTTTGTTTTTACAAAAGCAGTGCTTGCTCATTGCAGAAAATAAACAGGCAAAAAGAAGCACATAAAAGAACCCATCAGCTCATCTGATAGTTTGCCATTTATTGATTGGGACTAACTAGATTCATTCTCTTGGAAGATTTCCAAGATTGATTCCCTCCACTTTCAAGTTCAGAACAGGGTTTGGAGAAGTAAAAGTTAATAATGTAGGTAGGTCAGATTTTTCAGAGGTACCGGGATGAAATGGAAACTCCCTTTTCTCTACAGTTGCTTGTGCTGCCAGCTATTGGTTCAGTGTGGAGCTCAAACTCCTTCCATGTGTTCTTTTTTTCCTTAAGAATTTAGCAATTCTTCAGTTGCGTGGTGGGTTTTGCATGTTACTTTTATATATCAAAATGGATACCAAGAATAGTTTTTTGAAAAGTCAAGAAATATTTGTAAAGTACCTGCTATGAATTTCATGCTGTTCCTGACTACTGCAGAGGGTACCAACGAAGGAGGATCTGTTCCTGAATTTATGGTCTCATTCGCTTCCAGCTGGGCCGTTTTCACTTTGTAACTTTATAACACTATCCCAGCTGCAGCAGGTAGCTTTTAAAAATAGTTGCTCTAGAGTAAATATAGAAAAGAATTCTCAGAGCCTATGTATTTGTCTTTTTCACAGAGATTAAGTTATGCTGGTATTTATTTGAATGAATTATAACTGACTAGAGACCTTTATGAAGAAAAGCTGTATAGAGGCATTACAAAGAGAGTAGTGGTGAAAAACTTTTCGTAGCATCACTGCTTATGTTCCCTTTGTGACATAGATTTCAGATTTCTGTGGTTATTGATTGCTGTAACTAGTCTGACGTCTGGTTTTTATAGGGTTGAGGCTTTTCTGGGTGGGAAAAAAACCTGATATAAGTGTCCTGAGTGTGTACTTCACTGGTAGGAGTCCCTCCTTTCCACAGTTGTTTAAGGAATGACTTTTGTGTACCAGCCACTAGGTGAAAGGGATAGATAGAGCAGTGGAGAAGACAGATCAGGTTCCTGCTCTCACGGAGCTTACATTTTAGTGGGGGAAGACAGCCCAACAGGTAAATAATAGAATTTCAGTGATAAGCACTGTGAAGAAAATGAGGCAGGTAATGAGGAAGAAGAGCAGACGATAGGGAGTGGGTGGTGGGGTTGACCCTCCTTGACATTTTGTGGTCAGAAGGCCTTCACTGTTGGCTGACATTTGAGCAGAGACCTGAGTGTTGGAAGGAGGCCAGCCAGGTGACTTATTTGGAGGAATAGGAGTAAATCTTGTCTTTCCCAAACTCTTAGGTTATTAGGCTAGCCTATTTTCCACTCTTTTTTTCCCCTAGTAATAGTCAAGTCTCCCCTGTGGTCTTAGTCTCTGAGAGTGGAGACTGTCTTCTGTACTGTTACTTCCCATTGCCTCCCTAGCACAGGGCCAGGTGGCACATGGTTACCTCTCAGTAAATTTTTGTTGAGGGTCTTCATTGGTGGGCACTGGGGATATGACGGTGAACTAGACCAACTCAGTCTCCTTTTTCTTCTGTGAACCTTAAATTAGGTCTTGCAAGATATTTTGTGTGTGTTTTCCGTTGGAGAACTTCGAGATCAGTGCTAAGCAGTACAGATAGCAACTTATTAAACTATAATCCCATACAATAATGCTAGTATCTTACCTGTACCCCTTCACATACACCTACATAGTAGTGGAGGTTCACCTGGGGAGCTAGGAAGTCCTAGGTGAAAAGGAGAATAAGGTTTCCACAAAGAACCAATCTCTATCTTTTGGAGGTGATCAAAAAGCAAGAAAGTAAGCACTGAGATTTTTCTGTAGCCTTACCACTGATAACTTTGATTTCAAGATTCTGCTGAAATTATTCTAGCTTTAATAAAGATACTTGAAAGGACAGGCTTATTATTCATCCATTAGTCCTTGGTTATCACATCTGATAGGATTTATAGATATTCACATCTGACTTCAGTGCTCCATGGTGCAGGAAGACTGCTCTTCCTCCTGTAGTGACAAAAGCATTCCAATCATAATTTCAGATTAAAATGATCAGAGATCCCATCAGATCCAAAAGTGTACTTTATAAGTACTTGTTGGTATCCTGCTGTGCATTGCAAAAGAATTCTGGAGGTCTGCCAAACAGCACTCAGCAATAAGCCCTTTCCATTAGTTGAATGGTGTTGAGTCTTATTTCCTTACCCACTCTCTGACCTTAAAAAAATTATTTCATAGCTTAAAATCTATTATTACTTTTAGTTTTTAAGAGATTTACCAGAAATCCAGAGTATCAGAAACCGAAACGGTAATCGTACTTATATTAGGAATTGAGGAACAGTCAATTTGACTTAACAGACCTATGAGTTGAAAAGAAAGAGTAAATAGATATTGTTGCCTATGTCCTGATTTTTTTTTTTTGGCTTGTTTTGTTTTTAAGACCCTTTGCTCAACCTCATTCTGAATTGATGAGTTTGAGGACAAGAGTCCATAACTAAGTATGATGAAAGTAGACATACCTAAAATTAGGGAAGGATCCCTTTAGGTGCTGTGTTTACTAGAAGGGAAACTTTTTTTTTTTTTTTTTTTGCGGTACGCGGGCCTCTCCCTGCTGTGGCATCTCCCATCGTGGAGCACAGGCTCCAGACGCGCAGGCCCAGCGTCCATGGCTCACGGGCCCAGCCGCTCCGCGGCATGTGGGATCCTCCCGGACCGGGGTACGAACCCGTGTCCCCTGCATCGGCAGGCGGACTCTCAACCACTGCGCCACCAGGGAAGCCCCTAGAAGGGAAACTTTTAAGCTGGAATCTCTAACTT